GGATTTAGTCTGTTATCTAGCTTAGTATAAAAGACTTAGTGTGTTATCCATCTTAGGATAAAAGAGTTAATCTGTTATCCAGCTTAAAATAAGAGACTAAGTCTGTTATTCAGTTTAGCATAAAGGACTTAGCCTGTTGTCTAGCTTAGGATAAAAGAGTTAGTCTGTTATCCAGCTTAAAATAAGAGACTAAGTCTGTTATTCAGTTTAGCATAAAGGACTTAGCCTGTTGTCTAGCTTAGGATAAAAGACTTAGTCTGCTTTCCAGATTAAGATTAAGGACATAGTCTGTTATCCAGCTTGGAATAAAACACTTACTTTATTATCTGGCTAAGGTCTTTTAAATCAAAATTCAAAGCTGACGTATATGATAATATACATTAAATGTAAACTGAACTTTAAGTATTGTGCCTAGGCAATCCTATGTATTAATAAATAAATTCTGATAAAATTTTGTTTCAAAGTTTTATCCTTTCTACCATAAATGTCATTACAACGTTTTAATCTACTCGCGTTTATTGTATTGCTTACATTGAATCTAAATTAAGTCTCTAAGAAAAAATGGAATTATAAAATTTCATCAAAACAAAACAGCAATCCACCGTTTAGGTCTACCAAACTGAGCAGATTCCAGACAAGTTGAATCAAATGGTCCCATGTTCTTTTAGAAAAACCGATCATCTCGCAACTGTACCACTTTATTTGAAAATTGAATTTAGATTATACCGCAGATCATAAAGAACCATTACGACATATTGGCCCATTGTGTTAAATTTGAAGTGCATACATTAAAAAATAAAGCAGGTTTATTAACAAAAACCGGTACTATGTCTAAATCTGAACCGATATAATCCAAAGTTATGTAGTTCGCCAGGACAAAATTACCTTAACTCGTTTCTTTTAATGTCTTACAAACCTATTATACGTGTTTTACACATTTTTGTGTAAAGGTTACGGATATTATGTATCTTCCTGTAGTAATATATCTAATCTATAACATTAGTTCAATATATACTACATTACATATGTAATGTAACATAAAAATGTCGCATTAAGCAAGTATTATCCCGTAAAATAGAATTAACAGTAGTCATTCAATATAACAAATCCCAATTTAGCAAGCAAACGACGACACTTTATAATTGTACAGAATAGGATTTCATTTATCTTGGCACTGCTATACGACAACAACATTGTCGTATTAGCATAGATTTAGCTATCTTGGTACATTTTTTGCAGTCACTTGCTTTTGTTAAACTTTATTTTATTCATTTTATTTTTTTTATTCAAAATGAATTAATTTTATTTTATTCATATCAATTTCTTTATATTATTTTTTTTTTTTTTTTTTTTTTTTTTTTTTTTTTTTTTTTTTTTTTTTTTTTTTTTTTATTTTTTTTTTTTTTTTTTTTTTTTTTTTTTTTTTTTTTTTTTTTTTTATTTTTTTTTTTGTTTTTTTTCTTTATATTATTTTCATTGATTTATTTTTTAATAATAATTTTTATTACTTAATATTACATATTTTCATTTATTACTAAATATTTTTCTTATTTTTATTTTTTTGTTCTTATTTTTATTTTTTTTTATATTTTTTTCATTTTAATTTTTTTTCTTTTTTTTTCTTTTTTATATTTCTTTTTATT